ACAGGCCGACGATATGTAATATAATTATAATAAAATTTAAATAATTATATTTTATTAACTTAATTTTAAAAAATGAAATTTATATGAAAAATAACTAAATAAATATAACAAAGGAAATATTTTAATTAGAATAAAAATTTATCGAGTTTTTTATCCATTTCTAATAAAATTATCGAATTAATATATTTTTAGATTAAACACCCAATTTTACCCCCTAAACTATGGGATAAATTATTATTATTTTTTTTTTTGAAAACTCTGTCCTACCAGCGCTAGAGGCCCTTATTTTTACTAATTAGGCCGGCCAAACGGGCGAGGTGGGAAGACGAGGATTGTAGTATTAAAGACGACGCGATAAACGTTTCTATTCGTTAATAACTAATTTCTTAATAATATTTTACGCGGCGTACGCGTGGACGGTGGGCCGACATCCACCCTAAAATCTCCTTAACGGTGGACGATATTCCGAAGGCGAGGAGTGCCACCCGGGAGGATTATCTGCGGCTCTATTTAGATGTTAGCTACGCCAAGAAAACCCAAAAAAGCCGGCTGGCCGACTACGCGCCAACCCGCCACCCACTACCGTTTAGTAGTTTTATCCACTAGGCCGGTAGTAGGAGTAGGGAGATGACGTATTCGGGTCATTCCGCGTACGAAAATTCCTAAGCCGACTCGAACCCGGATCCCGCCGAATGGGGGCCATTCTTTCGTTAAGGCGGAAATTACATCCCGAACCATGTATACCATAATTTTTAGGAGTTTTCGATTAAAAATAAAGGTATAATAGTAAGACATACTATGACTGCCTGGAAATTTTTGACCTTCCGAACCTGCAGAAGGACTTCTACGTGTTCTTGTATGGCTGGGAGATTCTTTCCCTTCCTGGCTGACATCTAAAAAAATATCATAATACCAATAACGATAAAATAAACAAATATTATTATCATCAACATTATTTTCCCGATATATTAATAAAATATTCGATATAAAATTTCATAATAGGAAAATATAGGCAGTATAAAATGTTTACAAAATTTTTGACCATTGTATTTTTCCTCAATAATAATAATAATAATATGAATAGATGGGAATAGCGCTCGGCGGGACTTTCTAGAATAGTAACTTGAAGTTTGAAAGTAAAAGAAAAAGTAATTTCCAATTACATGCCGTATTGATGCCTTTAAAGTAATCATTTTTTACTTGTTTCTAAACTTATTTCATGTAAATGCTCTTAAAAAATTCGTTTGAATAAAAAGTTTTCGATAATTATCTTCCTTTACAACTTCACCTTTCGCCAAAAGCCATAAAAAATTAAAATAAATAAAAGCCTTAGCCCTCAATTTCTTTCCAAAATTTTTTATAAAAAATATTATTTACCTTTAAAAATATCAGAGTCAATTGTTAATGTATAAAAGGTATAGTTACGGCTACATTTGCTGGTAAAAATGGTAACATAATAACTTCTTGTCTGGTTTCAAGACATTTTTTCTTATTTTAATTCGTAAAATTTTAATACCCGGTCGTAAACACTAATTTTTGTTTTATTTAATATAAAATAAACATAAAAATTACGTTGTTATAAATTACACATACGTTAAAAAGAGAGTGAATATAGACCAAGCGATTTGACCCCAAATGGGGTCCAAACCCATATTCTTTAGTAAATAATGAACTAGGATAAAAAAAAAATATGTAACGTGGTTTACTTAGTTGTTACGGTGACCTTTCCCACTTCAAATAATAAGAGAGAAAAGAAAATGTAGGACGAGAAAGAAGAAAGAAATCCTTTTCCGAATTGTAATAGAATTCGTGTCCTTTTAGTATTTATGCAACCAAATTTATAACCCGAGAACAGCGGCGCCCGCGGACTACGAGAAAGAGAGGCACGAGCTATAAAAAGACTTGGTACTTTACGCCAGGATGTTCAAACTCTACGATTCAACGTTCCTACAATGTGGCACGGGTTGCATTCGGGGCTAACTCGGCTTGGGAAACCAGGAGTCGACGGACTGTACGACGAACTCGCCAGGGTCAATGAACAAATATCGTTTGTTAGTTTCTTCTATATTTGAGGAATGGGCTAGAAGTCACGAATTTTCTGTTGTTTGGGACCCTCTTAAGGATTAGAAAAAGGGCAACCGAGACGAAAAGGAGAACCACGTGCCCCAATGAACGGGCGCCCTGTTCAAGAATCTTTACACCGGCGAAATATTTACCCATTAGAGGTTAAATTTAGAATTAAATGTTTGATTGAAAACGTCAATAATTTAGTTTTTCTTCTGTTTAGGAGTAAAACTTACATATAACTTGGAGCATTTAATGAAAACCCTTTCTGGTCTATGGGCACTAAGCGAGACATTTTTTTAACGAGACCATTACGAATTCGGACAGGCCGACGATGGTGAGGCCGGGTGGTTAGTTAACGACGGGACCACCCCCGAAAAATTCACCAGGTTTTTCGGGGGTGGTGGGTTGGGATACGTCGCGGCCCACTACTCCGAATGACCCGAATTTGATCCCGAATCATCCAGAGCGGTGGGCTGCCAAGATA